GGGAAATGGTGTCAAAGGCTTTACTAAAGTCTAGGTAGACCACATCCACAACCTTTCCCTCATCCACTAAGCGGGTCATCTTGTCATGGAAGGAGATCAGGTTAGTCAAGCAGGACCTGCCTTTCATAAACCCATGCTGACTGGGCCTCATCACCTGGTTGTCCTGCACGTGCCATGTGATGGCACTCAAGATGATCTGCTCCATAACCTTCCTCAGCACCAAGGTCGGGCTGACAGGCCTGTAGTTCCCCGGATCCTCCTTCTGGCCCTTCTTGTAGATGGGCGTCACATTTGCTAACCTCCAGTCAACTGGGACCTCCCGTCAGCCAGGATTGCTGATAAATGATGGAAGGTGGCTTGGTGAGCACTTCCGCCAGCTCCCTCAGTACCCTTGGGTGGATCCCATCTGGCCCCATAGACTTGTGTGTGTCTAAGTGGTGTAGCAGGTCGTTAACCATTTCCCCTTGGATTATGGGGGGAAATATTCATCTTTAAGAAAAGAATGCTATGTTATTTTAAATAGATCAAAGAAATATATAGTAAGTGTGTAGTATTTTCCTAGATACATTACATTTGGCTTAATTATAGCTAAAAATAGATTTTCAGTAATTTCACTTTTCTTCAGTAATATTAATGATGAAGGAATGCAATTGTGTGACATAATGACAGTTCATGCTTCCAGCAGATTTTTAAGCCCTACAAAGTAGGAATACTATAATTTTCATGACTAGAAGTCAGTTACATGTTCCTATCATGACACTCACCCATACAATGATGGGTAATATTATACTGCAAATTTACTATTTATTGCTACAAAATGTCTTGGTACAGTATAGTGTACTAAGAAACAAAAGATATCCATTTTGACAGTTCTGCTAATAAGCTTTTAAAAGAAAATACTTCAAGCAGCTATATTTTCTCTCCTCAAATTAGTGCACTCCTAGGATTCACTAAATATAAATTAATATGTAGACTAACAACAAATTTGATGCAAGAAGAGTTTGCAGCTGCTGGCTCCAAGAAGCACTCTGTACACACCTGTCATCACAGATACCACCTAACCTTCAAGAACACAAGTTCTGACTGATGCAAAGAAAAAATATGTTAAAAAAAAATGGCTCTGTAAATTGGCTCCTTGACTAAATGGCTGAAATTCCATGGTCCAGCAGCCATGTAGCATACTTATTAAGTAAAAGATTCCCTGGGCTTTTTTGTGTTGGAGTACATTATATGTCAAAATGATGCAGCGTAACTTGACATTAAGTAGGGTTCACCCTGAGAACAGACATCTTATTCTGTTAGCATCCTCCTGAGAAAAGGCAGACAGGTTTAACCAGCTCCTTTTAGGGTTAAAAGAGAAAAAAACCTGATTCACCAAGAAATGATACTCCATTGTTTTTCTTGTCCTATAACAAACTGAATTTTGGTCGAGCTGAATCTTTGTCTTCACCACTGTCATGCAGTGCTGATCAGTAAACAAAAATATGCTTACAGGCTTTGGATTACCTTTATTTCGGCATTGTTCAATGGTTTTCTTTGTAAATTCATGTATTTTCTTGTATTTTTGCATAAAACTCTCTATAAATTGACTGGCTTGAAGAGGAGTAATTCCCAGGCAATCAGCAAGACGTTCTTTACCTGGTGGTAGAGAAATTATCTTTATTATGCAATAAAGCAGAACAGAAATCCACTACATACAATAGCACTGTTACATTCACAATTAGTGGAATTAGTTAAACTTCACTTATCTCTATGGAAGAGGATGGATCTGAAATACTACGGTCATATTTCAACAAAGCAAATGTTTAACTTTGAGCTTGAATGTTTTACTGAAGTTACTGGATTAAGAATATACTTAAGAAGTATATAAGAAGTATGTAATTAAGAAATTCCTAGTTATAATTTATACCTATAATGTGGTTGAAATCTCTTTTGTTCACAGAATAACTTTGTTGCTTTAAGTATAATTTTACTAGTTAGTGTTGAAATCCGCAAAATTTGAGGAGCAGATAAAGAACTTGAAATCAATTTTAAATAAACACAAATGTGAATGAAGATCTAAAAAAGGATAGAGATGTGGATGGTTGAGTTTAGCTAGAAGTTTTAGATTTGGTGTAGAAGTCACAGAAAAACTTAACTGCTGAAGCAATCAGACCAAGTAGCAGTTAGGAGTCTGAGTCCCACAGATTTCAATCTTAGGCTCCTCAAGGTCTGTAAAAATCTGGGTCCAGGTTGTGAGATAAAAGGGTTGGAAAAACCAAAAACAGAAGTGAAAAGTGTTTCAATGGAGAGAGAAAGGAATAATAGCTTTTGGATAGGATATGGATGCACAATATATATTATGTTGAATCTAAAAGCATTTATAAGGTGGAAAAAAGCTGAAGACATTTTTCCAGAGTGTGAAAATATAAACTAAGAGCTACAGTTTAAACACATTTATAAACCAAACAGTTCCAGTAAAAATAAAACATACATCAACACTAGTCATATGAGGTTTGAAAGACATATATTTATGTCAGCTGCACAGCAACACAAAACCAGCACTGTGTCTGCAAATAACATAAGCTGAGAGGCGACATCTCAAGGCACCAAAAGCACAGAATGGTTATTGTCACAGTAATACCGTCAAGAAAAATTATCTAGCATTTTTGAAAGAGAGAAGATTTCAGCCACCTAAATGCCATCATTGTCAGTCTGATGTGCATTTCAGAACAATTCTGTAGCATTTTGTTCTCAGTCATGCCAGGATCTGCACTGAGCTACAGGAACACCAGTCTGGACAAGGTCCTAGAAGAAGAAATTCACAAGACATCCAGGATGACTCTTGCTGAGCTATTATAGGTCGGTACTTTTATTTGACGTCTAATTAATTTGGGTTTTCTTCCTGGGTCAGCAAATGACAAATCTATCTGCTAAAGCACATATTGTTAACAGCTACGAGACTACTGTGGCTTCCTTAGAGAACTGTAACATTTAAGTTCGTCCATGTTATCCATCTAAAGAACTATTGATATACAGAACAAAGTATTACATAAAATAGCAGGAAAATTAAGCCACAATATCAGTAAGGAGGTCTGAAAGGTTCCAGGGAAATGCAGTTCCTGGGAAGCAAAAAGAGGGGAATGTACAGCCACGTAATTGTGTTAGATCATGTTCCACAATGCAGGAGCATAGGCCATGCACAGCAACACTCAGGAGTGGACGAAAGCTTCCTTGAGCACTCTCCTTGAGTTATCTGTGCCAGGGGAATTGTTAGCAGCAGCCTATGAGTTTTAGTGTTCTCCATTCTGTAATATCATCTTTCAAAACTGAAAATATCTTTAGTTTTTCTGCTTTTCATTTAAACACCTTGATATCCCTCTGTGTCAATTCAGGGCTTGAACATACTGCCATTGAATGGAATTAATTCCTTATTTTACAGATGTTTAAGCTGACGGTGCTTTAGTTTTACAAGATGACTGAGGCAGAAGCAAGTGAATTGAATTACTCCAAACCAAGCAAAAGACAGTAATACTGTCATCCCTCTCAATATTTGGTGTATTTATTAAAGTACCAACTCCTAGACGTAATGAAACTCTTCTTTCTTTATTATACTATTTTCTATCCTGCAGGATTATAGAAAAGACCTTGAAAATATGAACCAAGTGTAACCTAAAGCTAAGAAAACAACAACAAAAAATATTACTATTTATTACATGAAAGATTTTCAGTAACTCCTGTAAGCATAATACAGGCAAGCTCCTCAGGGAATGCTTCTGTATTTTTCAATCCCAAAAGTGAAATAAATATTATTCACACTCCTCAGTTGTATCAAAATGTCTCCTTAATGAAAAGTTAGCCATCTTTTGAAGGGAGTCAAACTGTGGGTGGAATTCAGTCCATCAATTTCAGGTATCTAACAATTATTTTTGTCAGCCCAGTTTCTATCTAAATAGTTTAATGATATCATTCCATGTTATGTCTTAATTAGGATCTGAACACAGTGCTAATGAACTGAAGCATCTTATTATCTTTCAGGTGCTTCAACTGCCCTCATTTGAGAGAGAGGGAGATGAAGCGCAAACAAGTAAATGGAGATACTTAAATCAAGCACTGCTGCACCAAAATGTTTAGTGCCTGGTACAGAGCAAGTGAGGGAGTGCCAATACTCTGCTTAATCTAATCATCTAAGTTCTCTATAGTATGAGTAGACAGACATAGGCTCTATTCAGGGAGGCTCTAGCCCCAGTAACTTAAGGCATTTCCTTTTCTCCACTGACTATATACAGAACTACAGGGCATTCAACCGCTGGTGATTCAGTCTGATTAAGTTCCACCTAGAGTGAAGGGAACAGACAGGAAATGTGTAGCATCTGCATGGACCAAGGGGCAGGAGTGCTGATGCTTGCATTTTGTAAAATAATCTAATGATGACAACATTCAGGCTGGAAATGGGAGATTTGATTCCAGTCTCAGCATGGGAAGGTCTGAAATTACATTGCAGGGAGCTAGTGCTGGGCTTTTTTAATATAGATGTTTAAAATGCAATACAGCCTAATGTAAAAATGCACGTGTGTGTGTATATATATTCTTATATGCATGTATTTAGTCTACACAGTCCCCTATATATAATAGATATTCTGGAGAGCTGAAATTGAAGTGTTTTTCTCCCCTTCCCAGTTGAATGCCGTAAATAAAAATTGAATGCCCTTGGCCAACTCTGCCTTTGGTTCAAGGACTGTTGACTCACTGCAAAAGATGGTTTATAAAGCATTCTCACCCAGGAACCCAAGATGTAGTTTTAAGTTCTTCCAAGTTAAATAAAGCCTGCAATCTAGGGCTCTCATTTCCTAAATGAGTTTTCCAAGTACTCATCTTCTGTAGAGCTTTTGGATTTCTCCAGAAGATCTACATAAAGTTTAGTTAGCTGTTCACTAAAATTCACAAGAGCTTGTAGGCTGATGATACATATGCATCGATCTTCCCAGAAAAGGTAATTCTAAGCATGTATGAAGCATAAGGAGAGTTGGGCATCATTTAAGAAATGGTAGGCAGTTTTGAAACTATGCAGAATGTCTTGACTTATCTAGGACCTGTGCAAGACTTAGGCAGAATGGGTAGCAGTGTGGATTTTTGCAGGTTTTCTGCAGTTGTGAAGAAAGATGTAAAATAAGGAAACACTTTTATACTGTGAGTGAGACGGAGCACTAGCACAGGTTGCCCAGGGAGGTTGTGGAGTCTCCATCCTTGGAGATATTCAAAAGCTGTCTGGGCAACTGGCTCTAGATGTCCCTGCTTGAGCAGGGGGGCTGGATCTGATGACCTCCAGAGGTCCCTCCCCATCTCAGCCATTCTGTGATTCTGTAACTGTGTTTTGAGACAATATTGGAGTTCCTTTAATTTCATTGCAGTTATTCTCATCTGTGTCTATATACTGACACTCCACTCAAAATTAAACTCATTTTAGATAAAGACAAATGCTTCAGTTACATCAGCAGCAAATAACTACAAAATCAGAGTAGTCTCTGTATATGTCAATGTGGCTGTATTAACTTGATAATTTTGATACTGGGTAGATCATTTAATAATCCTTGATAAAAATAAAAATTAAATACTCTGACAAACTTTTATTCACCTTTATAAATTCAGTCTACTTATATAAATTATGTGTAAAGTATGAATCTACTGTAGCTGGGTTTTTTTCTAAAAATGCCTACCTGCTCCATAAACCACTGAGTAAACTATACGCTTCGCTTGCTCTCTATCAGCATGTTTCACTTGCTCACCTGGAATCCCCTTCCTAAACAAACAAACAAAAATAATAGATTTTCAGTTAGAACTAGTTTAAGTCATTATCCCTACAAAAAATGTATTTAAAGTCAGTAACCATTTAATAACTACAGATTTATAAGATATGAACAGAAGCATTTAAGGGCTTTTGTCTTCAGCCAGGAATGCACAACTTCTTTACAAATTTTGGTGGTGATAGTCCATAGTAAATGAAACTCTTAATTTTAATCTTCATCTTCTCCTTTCCTTTTTTTTTTTTTTAATCAAATTCTTGGCTAGGAAAAGTCCTACTACTATACTATTAGTTCTTTAGGTTGGAGAGGATTCAGTATTGACCCATGAGAAAAATTAAATCTTTCCAGCAACAGCATTTATTCAAGACGTGACGTCTCTATAAGAGACTCAAAGCATAAGTCTGACCTAAAGCTTATTTAAACAAAGGTTATATCAGGGCTTCACTAATAGGAATATGCAACCTTTTATCAAGAATAATGACTGATAAAAGCATGCACTGAATCTCTCCGTATGTCTTACAGAGCTTACAGATGCTCCATTTAAAAATGGTTGCATTTTTAAAAGCAAAGTTTGTTATGCTCTATTATGAAAGTTTTTTGCCATGAAACATGCTTTGTCGTGAAAGTTTTGGCTGACGAGCATTGAGAAAATGGCATATTTCTGTGCATCTCCTTGAAGAAGAGTCTTTCACCCATTATTATGATATTCAAACTCCTAGAAAATCAGCAGAGCCACAAATTTTTGCTTGCTTGGCCCATACACTGATTTTAGCTAAGCCTATGCACAGTGCTGATATAATTAGGCACTCTGAATGATAAACAGGTAGACCTTGAGTGCAATCAGATTGAAGCAAGTCCTTATGGCAGTACAGATTTTTTGAAGAGGAAAAATAAGATTGAATATGATTTCAAATCTTCATTGGACAAACAGTCTTTGGTTTTGTAGAAGCTCACATTGTTCTTTTGAATGCTGCTAATTGCTCAAAGATAAAATGGACTTTTCACTGCTCATTTTAGGCTGAGAAACATGAAGAACTGATAATCTAATACATAGTGTTTTCCATCTGTAATGAAGACTATTCCCACTTAAGTCAATCATTCTGGTAGTTGGAGACTCTATTTGCCTTCTTAGTTATGCCAGGTCAAAAGTTCATGGCTTTTTTGAAAAAAGTAGGTTGAGATTCCCAAATGTACCTGAATAAGAGATCAAAGTGGCAATTGGAGCTAATAAGTGCAGAATTAGGAAACTAGACATCATTAAGGATTTCCTGAAGCAACCTCTGGCAGAAAGTCCACAGGAATTTCCTCAAGAACCTGGCAGAAAGCTACATGTACACTTGAGAAAGTACCTATCCAGAACCAGGAGGGAAAACAATCTGATAAGAAAGTAGATCTTACCTGAGGACCTTTCTGAGATGAAGAACCAAGACTGAAGAATGCTGAAACTAGGGAAACAATGCAAAATGTAATACTGCTTTCCTAATACTGTATAATTTGAACTAGAGGCCTGGAGAAGACGAGACAGGAGTACAGCAATAGAATTTACTTGCAGATTTACTTAAGTCTGAGGCTAGAGACAACTGAGAGCCAAGGGGTCAGCAGGGGGTGAGTATGTTAGCTGCTCACTTCTCTGAAAAAGAAGGGCTATAATAGAAAGAACACAGTGGGTAAGAAGTCATGGAGATCTGTAGAGGAACACACATACTTATCAGATCATGGCACTGAGGAAGACACAAGACGAGAGTCTTGCTGGGAGGGACTGGTGGTTCTAGAGAAGCTTTAACAGTGAAAGAAGACACTAGAACTTGATTATGTGCACAGCAAGACCCTCTGCTAGGATTTTAAGAATGAACTTGCATTATCTAAGCTTCGACTTCAAAGCACTGACTAGGAAAACCAGAAATAGACTTACTGCTGTAATCGTGATAGGCAGTATCAGGAGAAGGATCCTGTGTTTCCATTGTAAGCAATCACAATAAAACCTTGCCTAACAGTTATCGGTGCAGATGTGCATGCATCTTGTGATCATGGCAATCACAACAGTCACTTAGCATTTCCTGATCTTTGGTTAGTCATGAAATACATGAGAAGCAATTAAAATGTCAGAGCTTTATGTCGAATATTTCTTTTAAGGTAATGCTAAAAACAAAATGGTCAGTCAACACCTCCTTGTGTGTCAGAGTGGGAAATGTGAGCACTTGGCAGGGAGGCATTACATCTAGCACTTTGAATATTTGTAAATGTATGTACCACATTCAAGAATCTGGAATAATAAAGTATGAAATTGCCATATAAATCACAAGTGCTTGAGCAAACAGAAGTCATTAATCAAAGCTATTCCTTTTTTTTCCTAATAATGAAAATGTTTTTTTTCTGTTTGTATTGACAATGATTAGTTTCTACCTAGGATGCTTAATTCCTTT